ATCTATCTGTCTGTCAATATCTATCTATCTGTCAATATATATCTATCTATATCTATATGTCTGTCAATATATATCTGTCTGTCAATATCTATCTATCTATATCTATCTGTCTGTCAGTATCTATCTATCTGTCTATCTATCTATCTGTCTATCTATCTGTCTGTCAATATCTGTCTATCTATCTATGTCAATATCTATCTATCTATATGTCTGTCAATATCTGTCTATCTATCTATGTCAATATCTATCTATCTATATGTCTGTCAATATCTGTCTATCTATCTATGTCAATATCTATCTATCTATATGTCTGTCAATATCTGTCTATCTATCTATGTCAATATCTATCTATCTATATGTCTGTCAATATCTGTCTATCTATCTATGTCAATATCTATCTATCTATATGTCTGTCAATATCTGTCTATCTATCTATGTCAATATCTATCTATCTATCTGTCTGTCAATATCTGTCTATCTATCTATCTATCTATCTGTCTGTCAATATCTATCTATCTGTCTGTCAATATCTATCTATCTATCTATCTATCTGTCTGTCTGTCTGTCAATATCTATCTATATCTATCTATCTGTCTGTCAATATCTATCTATCTATCTGTCTTTCTGTCTGTCTGTCAATATCTATCTATCTATATCTATCTATCTATCTGTAAATATCTATCTATCTGTCTGTCAATATATATCTATCTATCTATCTATTTATCTATCTGTCAATATCTATCTATCTATATCTATCTATCTATCTGTCTGTCAATATCTATCTATCTATCTGTCTGTCTGTCAATATCTATATCTATCTATCTATCTGTCAATATCTATGTATCTATCTAATCTGTCTGTCTGTCAATATCTATCTGTCTGTCAATATATATCTATCTGTCAATATATATCTATCTATATATCTATCTGTCTGTCAATATCTGTCTATCTATCTATCTGTCTATCTGTCTGTCTGTCAATATCTATCTATCTATATCTATCTGTCTGTCAATATCTATATCTGTCTGTCTGTCTGTCAATATCTATCTATCTATATCTATCTATCTGTCTGTCAATATCTATCTATATATCTATCTGTCTGTCAATATCTATCTATCTATCTAATCTATCTGTCTGTCAATATCTATCTATCTGTCAATATATATCTATCTATATCTATATGTCTGTCAATATATATCTGTCTGTCAATATCTATCTATCTATATCTATCTGTCTGTCAGTATCTATCTATCTGTCTATCTATCTATCTGTCTATCTATCTGTCTGTCAATATCTGTCTATCTATCTATGTCAATATCTATCTATCTATATGTCTGTCAATATCTGTCTATCTATCTGTCTGTCAATATCTATCTATCTGTCAATATCTATCTATCTGTCTGTCAATATCTTATCTATCTGTCTGTCAATATCTATCTATCTCTCTGTCTGTCTGCCAATATCTATATCTGTCTATCTATCTGTCAATATCTATCTATATCTGTCAATATCTAACTATCTATCTAAGGGCATATTTATTTACATAGCTCTGCAGAGTAAAACCTCATAAGCCATCATGAGAACCTCAGTCTGTCTGTTGAGAGACAAATCGCAGACACTTTTAAACACTAATATATATATATACAGTGGGTACGGAAAGTATTCAGACCCCCTTAAATTTTTCACTCTTTGTTATATTGCAGCCATTTGCTAAAATCATTTAAGTTAATTTTTTTTCCTCATTAATGTACACACAGCACCCCATATTGACAGAAAAACACAGAATTGTTGACATTTTTGCAGATTTATTAAAAAAGAAAAACTGAAATATCACATGATCCTAAGTATTCAGACCCTTTGCTGTGACACTCAAATATTTAACTCAGGTGCTGTCCATTTCTTCCGATCATCCTTGAGATGGTTCTACACCCTCATTTGAGTCCAGCTGTGTTTGATTATACTGACTGGACTTGATTAGGAAAGCCACACACCCGTCTATATAAGACCTTACAGCTCACAGTGCATGTCAGAGCAAATGAGAATCATGACTATCTGTCTGTCAATATCTTATCTATCTGTCTGTCAATATCTATCTATCTCTCTGTCTGTCTGCCAATATCTATATCTGTCTATCTATCTGTCAATATATATCTATATCTGTCAATATCTAACTATCTATCTATCTAAGGGCATATTTATTTACATAGCTCTGCAGAGTAAAACCTCATAAGCCATCATGAGAACCTCAGTCTGTCTGTTGAGAGACAAATCGCAGACACTTTTAAACACTAATATATATATATATACAGTGGGTACGGAAAGTATTCAGACCCACTTAAATTTTTCACTCTTTGTTATACTGCAGCCATTTGCTAAAATCATTTGTACTGAGCAAAGGGTCTGAATACTTAGGACCATGTGATATTTCAGTTTTTCTTTTTTAATAAATCTGCAAAAATGTCAACAATTCTGTGTTTTTCTGTCAATATGGGGTGCTGTGTGTACATTAATGAGGAAAAAAAATTAACTTAAATGATTTTAGCAAATGGCTGCAATATAACAAAGAGTGAAAAATTGAAGGGGGTCTGAATACTTTCCGTACCCACTGTATATATATATACTTATATTAATTCATTGATATAGTAAAAACATTGCTTATCTTTATTCAAAAGCTTGGTACCTGACATACAAATAAACAAAATACACACAAATGATGTAAAAAAAAAAAAGTCCAGCAATCGCTAGGAAATTATTTAAAAAAATCCTTATCTGATAATCATGAATGATTGGAATAATCTAGTCAAAAACAGGTTAATAAAGTGTACTTTTTCTTCGATTCAGGCCTCTCATCCTTCACCATGATCATCCCCATCCGCTGCTTCACTTGTGGGAAGATTGTTGGGAACAAATGGGAGGCGTATTTAGGTCTTCTTCAAGCGGAGTATACAGAAGGGTGAGTTTTATGAAATTTCCATTTAGGTTTGATTTCTCTGCGTGTTTTCCCGTGTCAAACTGAATCTCACTCTGTTGGTTTTCACAGTGATGCTCTTGACGCTCTGGGTTTGAAGAGATACTGCTGTCGCCGGATGCTTCTGGCTCACGTGGATCTCATTGAGAAGCTGTTGAATTATGCACCGCTGGAGAAGTGAGGAGCTTTCTGTGCAACTGAAGATGCACATCCCACTCAGCCTCATATTTTCAAAGACTTGATCCTAATGGAAGAGATACAGGCACGGGCATGGAAATGGCTATATTTGAAGCAAGCTTATGATGTTGAATTTTTGTTTATTAGCATTTTGTTAAATAAAGATTGAAATGTATCTGTTGTGTGGTTCATTAAATTTTTTCTTTCAAATATCACAATATCTTAGAGGGGCAAGTATAGCCTGGATATATTCTTTGCTTCACCTGTCTTCAACACTGAGGAAATCCAGCGTGGGCATCTGCTTCAGTGACTCTACAATCTTAGTGTGTGTAGCAGACTTAAAATGATAATCAATGGCTACATGTGCATGTTTTTTGTACAAAAATACCCCCAACCTTAGCTCAAAAATGCAAAATGTTGTTATTCACCCTTATTTTCTAAATTTGTCTGCTGTCATTTTTTTTTCTTCTGTAAAACACAAAACTTTTTACTACATAACAATGATTCATATTGACACATCTGTTAAGCGTTGGAATGACAAAAAAGTAGAGAACCGAGTGCAATTGAAGTGATTTTAATCTTACCAGAAATCTCATATAAAAGCACTTGCCATAACACAGTTACCATTATTAACTAAAACTATTAAAAACATTCTTGTTAATTCAAATAAAGCTAAAAACTAAATATAAATATTAGATTAAAAACATGTAAATAAAAATGATAAATGTTTGCCTTGCCAAATAACTGACGTGTTTAGATTGAAGCACTAAAATGAAACTGGAAATAAAAACCAAAACATAAATAACAAATTAATTTTATTGACCAAAATAGTAATATTTAAATAAAGTATTAAAATGACAACAAAAGATTAAGATAAAAGCTAATTCCGAATATATAAATAATCAGTATATAAAAAATAATACTAAAATAACTGCTACGTGTGTTGTTAACTTTGATGAACATATTTTGCCAGATTTAAGTCATTACGACCTTTGTAATTTGTATTTTGGGGACACATTAAACTACTTTTAGTCTTTGGAATGTAATTCGAGTTTATTTTCAGACATTGACTAGGTTTTGTGCTTATTTTGCGTATAATAAACGTAAAGCAAAGAGAATTAGTAAGGGATCACTATGCATAATTAGTAATTATGGAAATTATGCATTACTGTCCCTTTAAGAATTGATATAGCGCCGAAAACGTCCATCCGCTCACACAAGCGCTCACTGAAATACATTCCCCGGGAAACAAAGACTAGCTTTCATTAGACTTAACCTTTATTCAATTTACGCGTGTCAGCCTAGAGGTCAAGGACAAACTCGAAGGTTAAAATACACACACGTTACGTCTGGACGACATAGAAACAACGAGCTATTAAAAGCAACATTCAAATAATATTCAAATAAGAAAGCGATATCGACCTTCCCAACATGGCGCCCGCTGCACGGCGTTTCCTGCTTTGATTGTGAAACAGTTGCATAAACTCTCCTTCAAAAAAAAAAAAACTGTCAGTCAAACACCTGATCAGCCACACATCACTGAAAACACTCCACGATAACATGTTTTCAGCAACTATCGCTCGAAAGGTACGTTTGTTTGCTTTGCATTCATATGTGGCGACAAATTTTAAAGATCACATTTGACCTCGTGTGTCTGAAGTGAGATAACAAGGTCCTCTTTCTGCAGCCCATCATACTAATTTCATACAGCTAATGTATAACATCCAAATAAACGCAGGGGTTTGGATAAATTGTTTAGCTGGATTTTTATCTTGTCCTATTTTAAATGAGCAGCAAATGTAGATGAGGACCTGAGCAGGTATTTTTACTTGTTTATGAACATCTAATGTTACAGATTATTTACCTCTTGAGACCTAATTTTGTACGTTTATATATATATATATAGAGAGAGAGAGAGAGAGAGAGATGTATGTATATATATATAGAGAGAGAGAGATACGGTATATGTGTGTATGTATGTATGTATGTGTGTATATATATATATATATATATATATATATGAACAAACCAGGGTTATTATAGTTAACTAAAGCTATACATTTCCAGGTGGTTCATTCTGTTTGCCGGGCATCACTGCGTCCAGCTGTCAGCACAGTGATTTCTCGGGGATACCGTGGTGATGCTCCAGAACCGACCATCATTGAGATCCCTCTGCCTCCGTGGCAGGAGAGGACAGGAGAATCCCTGGATATCAAGAGAAAGAGACTCCTGTACGAGAGCCGCAAGAGAGGCATGCTGGAGAACTGCATCCTTCTGAGGTCAGCAGGTCAAGAACACATCTAGATAAATGCCACCGACTCAACAGACAGCTAAACTTATTCTAGTCTTGGCAACAACATATAATATTGTCTAAGTGTGTCTAAGTATGTTCAGGATGAATTCTAATGAGCTGTATACACGGAATACTATGTGTGTGTGTGTGTGTGTGTGTGTGTGTGTGTGTGTGT